AACTCAATAAATAGGTTAAGAACGATTGTTATAGCTTATAGAGTCGTTCATTAGTGTTTAGGGGGATGGGAGGGGGGGGGGGTTGGTTGAAACAGGGGGAAGATTAAGTTCTGGGATTATTCTGTCTAAATTTCTTAGAAACTTCAAAAAAATTTCAAAAAGTGGGGGGGGGGGGGGTATTCCATGGGGTATTCCATGGTTACCCCCCTGATGTCAATACAAATGAGATATTTAAAACTCCCCTAAAACTGCCTCTGTCTTCATACAAAATGAATATCCTCTGATATACTGAAATGTATACTACACAGCACCTAAAACAACCCCTAAAACTCATTAAAATCAAACTAAAATCAAAGTCCCACATTCCATTCCGTTTTGTCACAATATCTCAATCAAAATATGCATGAATTCCAACCATTTACTCATAATTCACATGCCACCAAAAGGAATGGATGCGTGAAATGGAAAAAGCAAAAATTTCAGAATGCGGAATTGATGGTCAAATAACAAATTATCGTAGTTGCACGTTATTTGTTTTAAATTCTACGCCTTCCGTGCATGCAATTAAAATGTTCTCACATTCTCATTATCGGTTGTGATTTCTGATGTGGAAGTGTATTTAGTTCGGTGTGCTTACATGTGATAACTGAAATTTTTGCAATTAGAGTCAACCAAAAAAACTCAAATTTTACAACAACTTTCCTCATATAAATCCTTAAAAATGTAACCTTTTATTATTACTGACACCGTCATTCAACCATTTCCTTACGAGCAATTCTCGAGGGTGTAAAGTATGTGAAGCATCCAAGGCATGTGAAACTAAAATCTACTCTACCTCGAATGACGATAGAAAATTGTCTAAAAGCAATTACCAGAAGCTGAATATTCTTTTCCTCATTTAACTTGAATGCGGAGAAATGGATGTGAATGAATGGAGTTTTAGTTTGACGCTAGGGTTGTATGGGAATCATAATTTCATGCTAGACTTGAAATATTTTATGACATTTTCTCTCGCTTTTCTTCTTGCTTTTACGACACTTTTCGTTCCGTAATGAAAATAATTTAAAATTTTTTCCTTTTTTAGTTCTCACATTCGAGTTGAAAATCCTTTGTGATGTGTTTGGGTATGAACTTTGGTGATGATGGAATGGATGGGAAAAATTAAGGCATTTTGTCGTTGTTTTGTGCTGGGTAAATAGTAGTTCCGAGAATTTCAATTCTTAAATGCGCTTTGTTCATGATTAAAACTTGCCTCACACCTCCAAAAAGTAAATTATAATGCCAAACTCGCCTCATCTCTCTCGACCCACTTAATATGAGAAAAAGATGAGGTTAGGTTATTTAGTTTGTTGGATAAATGTCAAGTAACATGAGAAGTAAAAACATCCTTCTCAATTTAAAATGAAAATAATGAGAACGAAGGAAAGTTTAAATTACATCATAATTGGAAGTTGTGGCATCGTCCTTAAAATTTCTAAAAGCCAAACTGTAATTAAAGTCAAATTTTAAAGTCATTTCTTAAAGCATAAAAGCCACAGCTTTATATCTCACCCATTTCCCACTTCTCATGACAATTTCCTATCGAATTCTCAACACACACACACTCGTTTATCTTAGCAAATGTAATTTATTGCACTCAAATATCAACCATTTTGCCGTTGCCGTTTTCCTTTTTTTTGATAATAAATCTCTTGCTATTCAAACATTAACGTGAGCATAAACGTATTGCGCAAATATATAATGACGATTATAATAATAAGTATGATATAAAATGTGTGTGTGTGTGTGTGTGTGTGTGTGAGTGCTACATCAAGGTAATTATTTGATTATGAAGCGCACATTATGAGCTGAATGGAAATATATACATTTTTATGGTACAGAAGAAAAGCAAATAGAAGATGGAAACATACCAGGAACAATTTGCAATAGGTGGTAACTTTTTTGGCTATAATTTTATATCAACTTGATAGAAAAATCTGGAAGTATTGGACAACTTGACATGAAATTCAAGCTAGTTGACTAGAAAATAGAGCAAATTGATATAAAAATCAAGCAACTTGAACAGAAAAAAAGCAGCTTGACATAAAAATAAAGCAACTTGACAGAAAAATCTAGCAATTTGCCAGAAAAATCGAACAACTTGTTAGAAAAATTACGCAATTTGGCTATAAAGTAGAGCAACTTGTCATGAAAAGCAAGTAGAATGTAATGTAGGGTTTTGCTAATAGCAAAAGCGGCACTACGATCGATGATCTGCAAGTAACTTGAAAAAAGAAGCAAGTAACGGAAAGACTCGAAAAGAGTCTTCGAAAGTTCGAAAAGCAAGTAACTTGACTAGAAAATTGAAGCTGGATATCAAGATTAACAAATTGACAACAACAAGCAACTTGACCAAAACATTTACCGACGTGAAAAATTAAGCTACTTTACTAAAAAAGAGCAACTTGACATGAAAATTAGACAACTTGATAGAAAGAAATAGGAAATCTAGCACCCTGATAGGAAAATCTAGCACCCTGATAAGAAAATCTAGCAACTTGACATAGAAAGCAAACAACTTGACTAGAAGAAAGAGCAACTTGACTGGAAAATAAAGCAACTAGATAGGAAAATATTGCAACTTTACATGGAAGGCAAGGAAGTTTGATAACAAATAAATTAACTTGACATGGAAATCAAGTATCTTGACTAAAAAATCAAACAACTTGACACAGAAATCGAAGATCTTCAAACAATTCCAACAAAAAAAAATCCTTTCATTCCTTTTTCTTCTTCTTTCTATTTTTCTTGTCGTATTGAAATTTATGTTTCAACACATTGTGCTTCAATTCCAACAAAAAACATTTTTTTTCCAATTCTATACGATTCTCGCATGTATGCGAAGGTGTACAAATGCGTGAAAATATTTATTTTCTCACATTATTTTTCCTCTTTTTTTGCTGCTGATATCGTTATGTTTGTAAAAAGCAACTAGAAGGCGGAATTTATGATGAACAAATGGTAAAAATGGGTTGGGGACGATACACGTAACATTTGCAAAATGCAGCAGAGTAAAAAATGTTTAAAAAAACACACAAGCTTGTGCTCATTTCTGTGTCGACTTGAATGGCATTGAGTGGAGTTACATGTGCTTTCATATGATGGAAAATTATTAGTTGTGGTCTATAATTAGTCGTCAATTTTGTGACATATATCAAAACTTGCTCGTATGTCATAATAGATTATAATTAGTATTAATTATCAAACAATTTTCCAAATGAATTCAGAAAATATTTTAGGAATATTTCCTTATAAGATGTTTTTGTGAAGATGTTGGAATTAATTCATATGGAAAATTATCCCATTTACTGAAATTAAAAATGGATTTTTGAAAGAAAATTGTCTGAGCTACACGTCGATGATTTTGATCAATATTAAGCAGTCTCGTATTAGGTTTTCAGTTCTGTATTGAGTCATCTATGAACGAATCTCCTGTGAGGATGTGGGTTCGATTCTTATTCGATATGACAAGGTTTTGCACAATAATACGGCACGTTGAATGCTTAGACAACCAGATTTTTTTAAATTAGATTGTCTTGGGTTATAGTTTGGTGTCTAAAGCTTCAACAAGTCTCTGTCATTTTTAAACTGAGCAACAAAATTGACTTAAAGAAGAACGTTCCGATTACATGATCAAGGATACATAAAATTAGACTCACTTAATTCATCCTAATAACTGCTCATCCTCAAAACTTTTCAATCGAATTAATTTTATCTAATTTTAGACAGACATGCAAAAAAATGGATGAAAACCTACACAAAATTATTTTTGTTTTAACAAAGTCTCGACAGCTGAAGAAGGTATTATTCTTGAAGGCACAAAAAACTTTGAAAACAAATTAGCTTCATAAAAATGAAAAACATTTTCTATTTTTGGATTGTTTATGCTAAAAGTATAAATAGAATATTTTGCGTAATTAAAATTGATGAAAATAATTAATCTTAATTGGATGAAATTAAAAGATCCAGCAGATATAATGGCTTTTGAAGTAGAGTTGGGAAATTCAACTATTTTTAACATTTTTTCGTGACCAAAGAAGCTATAATAATTTCCACCTTCAAGTACCACCGCACGTGGCTCACACGAAACTGCCAACTTTATGTTCATGAAAAATCAACTCAAAGTTTAAAATTTTAATTACACAATACGAGAAACTTTCTGTGAAACACCACAAAGCGTTTCAACGCAATAAATTATTTAACGACTTAATTACAAGTTTCCATATAAAATCAACGGCTTGTCTCAAAGGATTCAAGTGAACACTATTTTATAATCAAAGCTTTAATGTCAACAGTATGAAGAATGTGAAAATTAAAGACTGAAATGTTTTAATATATGCGAAAAATCACCTGAGCTTCTCAGATTTAACACCTTATTCACAAGATAATTTTTTTTCTAAGAAAATCGTTCACAAAGATAAACCACAAAGACGAAAATAAATGAAATAAATTAACTAATGGATGGACGGATGGATAGTGGGTAGAACTTTTACAAAAGGGAATAAAAGACGATATATTAAATTATATTGTTGAGTAATATTAACTAGAAACTTAATTACTTCTTACATTTTAGCTCGCACACCCTCGTCCGCATTGTTGTTTGGTTTCTCGTAGCTCAAACAGCAAATGATTAATTAGTTGTGGAAATATAATTGATAAGGTTGTAGATAGTAAATGAAATGACAAATTTCCTTTCTGGTTTTGTTATTTTTTTTTTCGTTCTTGTGGAAAATTTCTAAATGATTTTTGTGGGAAAATCATTAAAGCAGTTCCTTTAAAAACATTCTGGGATTTATTTAAAATTCACATCTCCGAACCATTAAAATTTATTGCTACTTCCTTGCAGCAACAGCAGAACTGTGAAATCAGCAATAAATCTAAATGTTAAATGCAATTAAACTGAATTTCAATTATATTCATAAAAAATGTAATAATTTCTTTTTTCTTTCTCCATTTTTCAGAAACGTTATCTATAATCTAAGTATCCATGATTTAACAGAGCAGAACCGAGTTCTTTGGCACTCCACAGAAGATGATATAAAGATGTGTCTAATAAAGGGAAAAGATGAGGTAAGGATGTGAAACGATGCATGGAAGGCATCTATCTTGTGCTATATATATGTAGATGTAATATATTTTGGGTAAAATAATTGTGATAACGGTAACACATGCCATTTGCTAATGTAAATGGGGATAAGAATGGAAGGTATGAGAAATTCTTTGGGATGGTCCGTTGTCAAGTATGACGAGGGATTCTGTTTATTAATGAAAATTATAATAATGTGCCATATTTATTTTTATCTCAAAATTAAGAAATATAAATAGCTCATACTTTAAAAACTATTTTAAAATAAAGGTTAAGAAATGTTTAAAAATCTATCCATAAAATTTAAAAAAATAAAAAAAATTTTAAAACAATATTATTTAAAGTTTTAAAATTTAAGAATTCATTCAAATAAGATTTTAATAAATTCAAACATTTTAAAAATATAAAGTTCAGAAAACAAAAATATTTAAAAAAATGTATTATTATAATATTGAGTTTAAAAAATATTTAGAAATTGATTTAAAATATTTAAAAATTGATTTGAAAATATTCAAAAATTGATTTATTAAATATTTGAAAATTGATTTATTAAATATTTAAAAATTGATTCAAAAAATATTTAAAAATTGATTTGATAAATATTAAAAAATTGAATTGAAAATTGATTCAAAATATATTTAGAAATTAATTTGAAACTTTCTTTAACCTATTTGAAAACTCAGTTAAATTTCACATTCACAATTTCCTTTAAAAATCTGAATAAGTATGTTATTACATGGCATGGACAAGAAGAATATTAAAGGAAATTATATTCATAAAACTCTTATCAACACATCTACAGCAGCATTCATAAAACGAAATTTTATAGACTTCCATTCAAAGACTCTTTCATACCTGCTAATGGAATATTTTTTAAATTTCCTGTTCCTCAAAAAAATAAGCAAGTAAAAATTTAACATTTTAAGCATCGCATGGATGTTTAATTAAAAATTATCTCGTTCTTTACCATCTTACATCATCTCACACTCGACATAACATAAATATATGCAATATTATGTGTGTACGTTACTAAATCAGGATGGCTTAAAAAGGAACAAGGAACAAAAAAAAAGATAACGAGTACGAGCACATGAAATTGTAATAAAGTGAAATTAACAAACTTTCTCTCATCCTTCTGCATTCTGTCTGTGTCTTATTCTAGCTTTATTCGATGTAATATACAGTAGCGAGTAAAAGTAATTGGCCACTCACATTTTTTTGCTCTATCTTTTGATTGGAACCACGAAAAGTGATGAAATTTTCACCAATTATTCCATTTTTTATTACTAATACACTAATATAAGTCTTAATTCATAATTCATTGAATTTTGTACAGTTTTCCCATAAGGGAGGTTTTTTGAGGGAGCAAAAGTAATTGGCCACTTTATAGATTACAATTGTTCAAAGGTAATCATAGAATTGAATATTTATTTAAACTTATTCTGTTGAAATGGACAATTTATAAATTTTAGAAATGATTTTCTTCAATATTCAACATTTAGTTCCCTTAAAAATCATGGTGAAATAGAGTATGTCCAAAATAGAGGTTTTTACCCATTTTTTTTAATTCCACAATACTTTAATTAAAAATAAAGCTTAAATTTACGTTCTACTCATCAATACCTTCATTTTGATATACAATATGCCATACTTTCCTTCTGTTTCTCTCTTATAAATCATATTTAATCAGTACAGCATGAACAATTTGCAGGGAAACTGATATTTGTAGGTTCCTAAAACCTTATAACAGCTTCCAAAAATTATGTTATGCACATATTTCTATAGATTATAGTCTGCCAATCATTTTGATATATTATACATGCATATTCATAAGCTGGTTTAACAGTAAAAGATGGCTAAAGTTGAAGTTGTTACAAAATCATCGAATTTCTTAAAGTTTTCATACAAACTTTTAAAAATTGATCTGATCACTTTTTTGACTTTGCAAAACTGCTGAGTCTGCTTATGAATATGCATGTATGATATATCAAAATGATTGGCAGACTATAATCTATAGAAATATGTGCATAACATAATTTTTGGAAGCTGTTATAAGGTTTTAGGAACCTACAAATATCAGTTTCCCTGCAAATTGTTCATGCTGTACTGATTAAATATGATTTATAAGAGAGAAACAGAAGGAAAGTATGGCATATTGTATATCAAAATGAAGGTATTGATGAGTAGAACGTAAATTTAAGCTTTATTTTTAATTAAAGTATTGTGGAATTAAAAAAAATGGGTAAAAACCTCTATTTTGAACATACTCTATTTCACCATGATTTTTAAGGGAACTAAATGTTGAATATTGAAGAAAATCATTTCTAAAATTTATAAATTGTCCATTTCAACAGAATAAGTTTAAATAAATATTCAATTCTATGATTACCTTTGAACAATTGTAATCTATAAAGTGGCCAATTACTTTTGCTCCCTCAAAAAACCTCCCTTATGGGAAAACTGTACAAAATTCAATGAATTATGAATTAAGACTTATATTAGTGTATTAGTAATAAAAAATGGAATAATTGGTGAAAATTTCATCACTTTTCGTGGTTCCAATCAAAAGATAGAGCAGAAAATGTGAGTGGCCAATTACTTTTACTCGCTACTGTACACAGCATGAATGAACACGAATTTTTTGAAAACTTATTTGATGCCAAAGGAACTGTTTTGTTTCGTGGAGTTGCTAATTTTAGAATTTTTAAAACTTAAGTTTATTTTAAATTTAAAATGAATTTTTTATAAAGTTTCTTAATTTTTTTCAATTTACAAAAATTTAAAAGTTTTTATTTTTGTGTTTCGATTTTTTTACAATTTAAAAAAAAATTATGAAAAAATCAATTTTTGTAGTTTTAAAATTTAATTTAAACTTTTTTTTTCAAATTCTGGTTTTAATTTTAAACCCAACTGCTTTAAAACATTGATCTGCTCTCAGTCAAAGCATCAACGCCCGGGAAAATGCATCACAAACCATCAACTAATCCTTCCATCTAAAACATTTGCTTAAAACTGCATAAAATCCTCTAAAAAAATGCAAACTACAGCGAGAAACACGAACAAAGCATAACAACTGTCTGAGTGGCTACTTCTCATTGTTATGCATTTTCTCTACACTATCCAAGCATTTTATAGCACCCCGTTATCCTTTGAACTTGTTATGTTTTAGTATCGTACACACTTTACACTTTATAACAGAATATATAATAATAATAAAGGATATGGAGCATTCTTTTTATCTATCCATGAATATATATTCCCCTAAAAAGTAAACACAAAAGAGAACCTCTGCATTGAGTTTGAAGCAGAAGAGAATGAGAACCAATAAGACAAATTGCTCGACAGATAATTGAATTCGTGTTCACTTGAATTGTATTGGCACAATGTATATCATACATAGAAGTAACTCGCCAAACATAACATTTTGAAGTCGTGCCAAAATCAATAAAAAATTGGTTCATGTGTTACCGTTGGCTGTGCCAGTCTCAGTCTACCTACAATGAATATTGTTATTCTATAAATTGTATTTTATAAAATTGATGTCAATTTTCTTGTCTTTCAGGAATCATGTCAGAATTACATTCGAATTCTTACAATCACAAACCCCGGAACGTTATTGGCATGTGGTACAAATGCCTATCGGCCAGTGTGTCATTACTACAATACAACGGGACTTAAATATGTGTTAGAGAAAAATAAAGCTGGACAAGCAATGTGTCCATATGGACCGAAGCATAATTCCACATCAGTTTTTGTCGGTAAGTAATTTTTATGAATTATTCTTTGTGTGTGTAAATGATTACATTCATCATGGTCTGAATTGCTTATGATTCTTCCAATCTACGATTTCAATTTTATATGTAATTTTAAATTCTCGATTGGATTTGTGAGAAAATTGGAACACTTAGGATGATTTTGTCAGAATTTATTGAATAAATTTTAAAAGTCGACCAAAGTTTATGCAGAACTCTAGTTGATTTTATAAAAGTCGACCAAAGTTTATGCAGAATTCTGGAGGATTTTTATAAAAGTCGACCAAAATTTATGCAGAATTCTGGCAGATTTTACAAAAGTCTACCAAAAATTATGAAGATTTCTGGTAAATTTTACAAAAGTCGACCAAAAGTTTAAGCAGAATTTTGGCAGATTTTACAAAAGTCGACCAAAATTTATGAAGAAATCTGGCGGATATCACAAAAGTCGACCAAAAATTTTGTTGGATTTCACAAAAGTCGATCAAAAGACTGGACAATTCGTTAAAAGCTTTTTACTTATCTAAAAATTTTGATTGATTCAAATCAAAAATCCTCCTCACAAGGGGCCTTCATTCCTTAATTTCTTCAATAAACCTCTCCTCAAAAGTCCAAAGAACCGACAACGAATGAGTGAGACTAAACGAAACAGAACAAACTTGAATCACTGACTGATTAAATAATTGTTTCAATGAACTTTCCTTTTAAAAGATTCATACAATGTTAATATTGTATGTATTTCACGTGTCATTGACATACAGCATACCATAGCACCCACAGAAACTGCAATGCGCGTGTGAGAAAAATTTTTTGCTCTTCTTTTCATTCGTTTTTTTTGTGAAATGAAGTCAGTGAAATTGCTTAAAATGAAGGGAAAAAAAAGTGGAATTAAGAAGAAGAAATTCTTTGATAAAAGCGAACGATGTGAAATATGAAGAATTTTGAACTTTCTTGGAGATTTTCGGGAAGCAAAGGGATGGAAAACTGGCATTTTTTTGACTCAAGGACGTTTTAAGAGTCAGAAATAGTCAATCAGGTATCCGTTAAAGTTTCTGAAGATAGATCCTAATAAAAATGGCAGATTGAGAAATTCTAGACTTGGAATAGTTTCACAGCATAACCTATGAAACTTAATATACACATCCCACCCCTTGCATGCGGCAATATGAAATTTGAGTAATGTTTTACTTACTTGTTTACTGTAAAATTTATGTACACATTTTATAAATTTTTCTTTCTCGCTTTTCCGCTTCTCCATCCTCTCTCAATTGCTCTCACTTTCTTGTATGATTTCAAATACACTCATTTCTCGGTGTTTCAATTACAGTAGAGGAAAAACATTGCCGCAAGATGTTGGTGATAAGACGAGGATTCAAGAAATATTAATTTATGCTTTAACTTGCTTGTACATATTTTTTCATCGGCTTTCCAACTTTATTCTTCTTTTTATTATGGATATAAATAGAAAATACCTTTTGTACTAATTAAATTTTGGCTGTGTGTTAATTAAACTTGACAGACATGAAGCATGGAATGATTATACTTAAATCATGCTCCTTCACTTTCGTCTGCGATGCTTTCATTCTTATCGGATATACAGCAAAGCAACATCATCATCTTAAAGATTTAATGATATTGTGAATTTTTTTTTTGCTTTTGGGGTTTAAGTTGTGAGGTATTTTAAGGAAGTGATGCTATTGAAAGGCAGTTTGACTGGATGATGTTGTAGTAGTTTGTGAGGCTTATGAAGCAGCAATGTTATGAGCACTTTATGTAATAAATGAGATGTCTGCTTCTGATGAGATTCGAACCCACATCCTTACAATTGAGAGATTCACTTATCTTGGTCAGTTGCTGAGCAACTAAGCTACAGAGACTTTACTATCGTGTCTGAAGATTTACCCACTTTTTACTGGATACCCAAGATTCCAGTACCCATTAAAAGATTCAATAAATCCTTATGAGTCATGCCACAAAGCGCTCTAAAAAAGCTCATTTATTTTCTCTCTTGACTTTCCACCACCAAACTTCCTTTCATTCCTTCGTATCTCGATACATTTTTACTACGTTTTTTTACTACGTTTTTCTTAACTTGCTTTCTTATCTGTTTGATTGTCGAGGGCAAATCTTGTAATCGATTTTTCGACCACTTCTACTGCTCCAATCGAGCTCAAATTTTTTATTCACACGTATTCCCGGTGACAATACAATATTTTAACACTTTGGAAACACAAAAATGCTTAATTATAGTACAATTTATGTAAAACTTTTTTATATGGGAAAAAATCCAATGTCAATGATATAAAATTTTGATTTGCATTAAATATTATACTTGTGATGCTCTAAAGTCATTTATATGATTCATTATAGTTTAATTAATATTACTAATTATTAATTATACCATAAATTTGAGCAGCTAAAGATATTCTGGTAAGACAAAAAAATTGACATGTAATTTTTTCATGAATATTCGTAAGTGAAAATTTGAATTTTCAAAAAAACCGTTAAGCACAAGTCCGTTACGAATTAATGCAAAATAACTATTAATGTGCGATGTGCATTTAGCACACATAGTTTGAGCATAAATTCAGCTGTTTTAAATGTATTGCATTATTTATAACACTTCACCAACTTAATTAAATTGACTTTTCTTTTTATTAACGGCTTGACGTATTTTTGCATAACATATAAATGATATTCATTGAATTTAAATTTGAAAATCCGTTATAAATACGTTACATATAGATGTGATTTGCATCTTTATGTTAAGAATCCACAAGTTATGAAGTAGAAATGGTACAGATAAACACAAAATCTTTACGAGTGATTTTTAATGTACTTTACTGATGAATGCTTTAAAAAAATTAAATTTTATAAAACGAATGAAAAATTTTGAAAGTCGTTACTAATTTCCCATTGAAAACTGGTAATTTATAAACAGTTGAACGTAACGAAGTGCAACGAAGTGAAGTTCAACACACCTGTAACCTATAAACCTACTGTAATCTATAAACAGTTGAACGTAACGAAGTGGAGTTCAACACACCTGTAACCTATGAACCTACTGTAATCTATAAACAGTTAAACGTAACGAAGTGGAGTTCAACACACCTGTAACCTATGAACCTACTGTAATCTATAAACAGTTGAACGTAACGAAGTGCAACGAAGTGGAGTTCAACACACCTGTAACCTATGAACCTACTGTAATCTATAAACAGTTGAACGTAACGAAGTGAAGTTCAACACACCTGTGAACTATAAACCTACTGTAATCTATAAACAGTTGAACGTAACGAAGTGCAACAAAGTGAAGTTCAACACACCTGTAACCTATAAACCTACTGTAATCTATAAACAGTTGAACGTAACGAAGTGCAACGAAGTGAAGTTCAACACACCTGTAACCTATAAACCTACTGTAATCTATAAACAGTTGAACGTAACGAAGTGAAGTTCAGCACACCTGTAACCTATGAACCTACTGTAATCTATAAACAGTTGAACGTAACGAAGTGCAACGAAGTGAAGTTCAACACACCTGTAACCTATAAACCTACTGTAATCTATAAACAGTTGAACGTAACGAAGTGCAACGAAGTGAAGTTCAACACACCTGTAACCTATAAACCTACTGTAATCTATAAGCAGTTGAACGTAACGGAGTGAAACGAAGTGGAGTTCAACACACCTGTAACCTATAAACCTACTGTAATCTATAAACAGTTGAACGAAACGAAGTGCAACGAAGTGGAGTTCAACACACCTGTAACCTATGAACCCTCTATAATCTTTATTTCTCTATTTCATTAGAATAAAACTAAAAAGTAGAAAATAAAATACTTTATAAAAAAAACTTTTTAAAAAAACTACGTTTTTCGCGTAGACTAAAAAGTAGAAAATAACTTTTATTCTTGGTTGTAAAGAATTTGGTTTTAAATTTTCAGATTATATTTAATAAATTTTTATATCCTAGTCAATATTGTTCACAAAGTTTCGAATAAGTGCACTTTGATCTTATCGTATAACTCAACAACTTAAAAACGTGGGCGCATTAATTTAAGTTTATCATAAAGTATTGATTTCACATAAACTTATTTCTCCTCTTATAATGCGCCCACGTTTTTAAGTTGTTGAGTTATACGATAAGATCAAAGTGCACTTATTCGAAACTTTGTGAACAATATTGACTAGGATATAAAAATTTATTAAATATAATCTGAAAATTTAAAACCAAATTCTTTACAACCAAGAATAAAAGTTATTTTCTACTTTTTAGTCTACGCGAAAAACGTAGTTTTTTTTAAAAAGTTTTTTTTTATCAGATGAGTTAAACACAAAAAGAAAAGAAAGAGAAGAAAAAAAGGTTTTTTTCATTCCATCATCAAAGTATTAGTATAATCAAGTCAATGAAGTGTACAGAACCAAGCAAAAATATTGTTAGCATAAAGTCGCGCAGAGTCATGGTTGAATGGATGGATGGAAAAAGATATCACCGTATCATTTACGAAAAAAATAAAAAGGAAAAAATATAATGTCTCTAAGAGGAGACGACAGTGAAGCAAAAGCAGCAGTAGCAAAAAGAAAATTGATGAACATACTTTATACTTGACTGATAATATTTTCTTCAATATTCTGTGTATAGATTAAATGTTTCCCACACTGCCAAGTCAGTGAGTAGCAACAACAAGCAAGAGGAGTAGTGATGATGATGAGGGGGTGCGGGTGACATTAGTAAGGAGTAATAATAAAGTATGAACTCAGGATGCGAGATAAGAAAAAAAAAACTGCTATGTAAATGACTCAGGTTGGATCTTATACCTATCTGCATAAAGTAGAGGGTAGAAAATGCCAAAAGTAACAATTTTTAAGGACATTAAGGTGGTTTGCAAGTGCGAAAGTTCTCAATTTTCTTCTTCATTCAACTCATTTTGTTTGACATTGCTTGGTTTCGTCTTACGTATATGCTGGTTTTTTGTGGGGTTGATGATTCTCTTTTGGGGATG